TTCTGTGCTCCAAGGAGAGATTTGAGGGATGGATTTTACAGAGAGATTTAAAGGATGGATTTTAGGGATGGATTTTAGGGACAGAAGCAGCATGGAAGGAAAATTCCTGGGAATTTCAAGATGGTGGAAGAGCCAGAGCAGCATCAACAACTCTGCAGCCACAGGGCTTGAAAAGCTCTTGGAATTTTGTGTGTAAAAAAAGGACAGAGTGCAAATGGCACAGAGAGCTCCAAAGGCTCGGGATCATCCCTGGTGATCCATCCCCAGCCATGAGCAGGCAGGGCAAGGCTGGGTCACTGCACCCTCCCCACTCACANATCACAGTTCCCATGGTGGGAAATGAGGGTCCCACCCTGATCAGAGTTTCCCTCCTGGCTCTGTTTGGGGGAATTCCTGCTCTTCTTCATATTTTCTCCTAAAAATGGGGAAACATCTTTCCTTCTCCTCATTGCCCCCAAAAATGGGGCAAAACTTCTCCTTCTCCTCATTCCAACCTAAAAATGAGACAAACACCTCTCCTCCTAATTTCCTCCAAAAATGGGGCAAACATCTTTCCTTCTCCTCATTTCCCCCCAAAAATGGGGCAAAACCTTCTCCTTCTCCTCACTGTCTCCCAAAAATGGGGGAAGCCCCTCCTATCCTTCATATTCCCCCTCAAAATATTAAATAAACATCTCTCCTTCTCCTCATTTTCACCCCAAAATTGGGCAAACATCTCTCCCTCTCCTCATTCACCCTAAAAATGAGACAAACACTTCTTCTCCTCATTCCCTCCCAAAAATGGGGAAAGCACCGCCTATCCTTCATATTCGCCCTCAAAAAATCAGACAAACACCTCTCCTCCTAATTCCCCCCAAAAATGGAGCAAACCCCTCTCCTTCTCCTCACTGTCTCCCAAAAATGGGGGAAGCAGCTCCTATCCTTCCAATACCCCCCAAAAATGGGGAAAAACATCTCTCCTTCTCCTCATTTCCCCCCAAAAATGAGGGAAGCACCTCCTATCCTTCATATTCCCCCTCAAAATATTAGATAAACATCTCTCCTTCTCCTCATTTCCTCCAAAAATGGGGCAAACCCCTCTCCCCATTCCCCCCTAAAACCAGGGTGAACATCCCAACTTTTCTCCCCTTTAATCCTTAAAGGATTAACTGTGCCCCTAAACAAACAAACAACACTCAGGAAAAACAGGAGGGATGATGCAATTTAAATCAGAAAAACAACACAACAGATTAATTTTTTTTTTGCCTTTTTTTTTTGAAAGGCAAGGAATGGAAGAGCAGAGCTGGTACTGAGAGGCCACCACAAAGAAACCAGAACAAACTCCTCACCCTGGGCAGGGATTTCTG